AGCTGTAATGCCACGGCACTCTACCCAGGGGGACAGCTTGAGGCTCTGTCTCAAAAAAAAAAAAAAAAATTTTTTTTGTATAGACAAGGTCTCACCATGTTGCCTAGGTTGGTCTCGAACTCTCACCCTCAAGTAATTCTCCCACCTTGGCCTCCCAAAGTGCTGGGATTATAGGCATGAGCCACCATGCCTGGCCTCCTACAAGATACGTAATTAATTACAAAGGGGGAAAAAAGTAACTTTATGGTGAGGAAGAATGGCAGACATCACCTTCATCAAGTAATCAAAATTTCTATCAACAGTAGTAGAACAAATCAAAATCATGTACCACTTGATAGGATAAGAACAGCCCTTCTGTGACATTCCTGCCGAAGATGAATATCCTGAAGCTAAAATGTAGTAATGAGGACTCATCAGACAAACCCAAATTGAGGGACAATCTATGAAAGAACTGCCCTGGAAACTTCTAAAGTGTCAAGGTCATGAAGGCTAAGAAAAGACTGAGGAACTATACTTGACATGAGAACTAAATATGTGATTAGCAATATGTGATTCAGAACTAGATATGTCTGCTATAAAGGACTGTTGGCAAAAGATGAACTGGGCCTAAGGATTAGACAACATATTTGTTAATTCCTGATTTGGACGGCTGCATTGTGGTTATGTAGAATATCCTTGTTTGTAGGAAATACATGTTAAAACATTTAGGGGTGATATGGCATAATGTCAGCAACTTAATCTCACATGACTCAGAGAAGAACAATTCTTTATATTGCATTTTCAACATTTCTATAAGCTTAAGACTCTTTTTAAAAAGTTATTAGAAAGAGGAATTATGACCAGGCACGATGGCTCAAGCCTGTAATCCTAGCAATCTGGGAGGCCAAGGCGGGGGATTGCTTGAGCTCAGGACCCTGAGATCAGCCCAAGCAAGAATGAGACCCTGTCTCTACTAAAATAGAAAAATTAGCTGGGTATTGTGGTGAGTGCCTGTAGTCCCAGCTACTTGGGAAGCTGAGGCATGAGGATCACTTTAGCCTAAGAGTTTGATGTTACTATGAGTTCTGATGAAGCCATGGCACTCAACTCCAGGGTGACAAAATGAGACTCTGTCTCAAAAAGGAAAAAAAAAAAGTATTATTCAGATTGTAACTCCATTAAATAGGAAATTACATTTATAGGAAAAAATTATGACAATTCAGAAATGGCAGACACCCTTCTATTTCTGCGCTTTTAGAATACCCTTATCTGTGCAGGTCAAAGAATAAAAAACCCTTTCCGGTCATAAAATTCAATATATAACTGTATCCATGAGAAAGAATACAAGTACCTCCTAAGCTGTCAAGATCCTCAAGAATCCTGCCAAACCTGTGAAATAAAGCAAACTTTGTGAATTACATGATATCATGATCTCCACTTAAAAATAACTAACATGCTTCAAGGTGATAAAAAATGTTCTAAAATTGACTATGATGATGGTTGCACAACTCTTGGAATATACTAAAAGCCATGACACTGTACACTTTAATTGTACAGTGTATAAGTTGTATCTTAAAGCTTTTATTAAAAAGGAAAGAAAATAAAAACAAATAAATAAATAAAAATAGCACTGTGTTACCTTACAGTGTTTTGAACAGTCAAATACTTCTCTCGTAATTCAGGCTCACTGCCCAAAGGCAAGAGAACTTCGATGTAACTGTCCTTCATTCTCCTGGGTGGCATTCCTTTCTGTGACTCTGCCAAAAAACCATGAAGTAATTTTCTTTCCTCCATTGCTTTCACATGGTCTCTGAAAAGACAGGATACAAGATTCCTAAAGCAAGAGCTGTGTTATCCCATAATTCCAGTGACACACAGGCCAGCAGACACCATCAAAGGGGAAAAGAAAAAGTCTGGACCTACTTCACCTTTTCTTTCTTGCCTCCCTTTCCACCCACCACTTGGTGAAACTGAACATTTCTTATGCTTAAAATCTAGTCATGTAGCTACATCCAAATGAACCATATATTCACTTTCATCAAAAAGTTTACTCAAATAGATTATTTGAAATCAAATTTAAAATCCACAGAGATGAACATAAAAGTATATATGGGCTAAAGAATGGCATGATGGCATGACCACTCTACACCATATTTCCTTTTCTCACCTGACAGTTTTCTGATCCTCTGTGCCCCAGCTCTCTCTCTCTTACTCCCTCTGCCTTCAATTTCAGGAAAGAGAGATAAAGAAAAAAATGGACTATATGCAAAGGTCATATGGAAAGCAAAATAAAAGGTAAAGAGGAAGAGAACATGAAAAGGAGACAAAAAGGGAAGAAAAAGAAGAGATAGGTGGAAAAGATAAGAGAGACAAAGGAATAGGGAACTAAAATGTTGACAATAACATCAACTAAGACATCTTTCTAAGCTTAATTTATGAAATATTATTGTCAAATGTTTACTCTACAAAAATTTAGGATATAGAGGAACAAGTTAAATGCTACCAGATAAATCCAGAATGTGGAACATTGTCAAAGGTTAGTCTCTTTAAAGTCAAGTTCATGGGAGGAAGGATAACTGTCAATTATTCTTGATCTGGGGAGACTAAAGAATAATAAGCAGCTGGCTTAGCACCTGTAGCTCAAGGAACTAAGGTGCCAGCCACGTACACCAGAGCTAGCGAGTTCGAATCCAGTCCGGACCTGCCAAACAACAATGACAACTACAACCAAAAAGTAGCCAGGCATTGTGGCAGGTGCCTGTAGTCCCAGCTACTTGGGAAGCTGAGACAAGAGAATCACTTAAACCCAGGAGTTAGAGGTTGCTGTGAACTGTGATACCATGGCACTCTATCAAAGGCAACAGCTTGAGGATTTGTCTCAAAAAAAAAAAAAGAATGATAAGCAGCAGATGCAATATGCAATCCTTTATTGGATCTTCATATTTTTAAAACTATATAAACATTTTGGAAATAGTTGAAGGAATGTGAATATGGGTGAGTAATATATTATCTGGGGATTGCTGCTAGTTTTGCTATATAAGAGAAATGTCTTATTTGTTGGAAATACATAAAGGCTGGATGTGTTTTATAAAAAAAATATATTGGGCCAAGTGTGGTGGCTCATGTCTCTAATACTAGCATTCTGGGATGCTGAATGGGGAGGATCATTTGAATTCAGGAGTTCAAGATCAGCCAGAGCAAGTAAAACTCGATCTCTACTAAAAATAGAAAAATTAGCCAGTGTACACCTATAGCTCCAGCTACATGGGAAGCTGAGGAAGAAGAATTACTTGAAACAAGAGTTTGAGGTTGTTGTGATCCAGGCTGACACCATATAACTGTAGCCAGAGGGGAAAAAAAAAGAATGCATTTATTTATTAGAAACGCATGCTCTGAGGAGGAGGAGACAAGATGGCCAATTGGAGTCAGTTTTACACAGAGGCTCCGGTCCAGAAGGAGAGTAAAAAGACAGAAGTTTAACAAGTAAGCTGATGCTTTGGAGCTGAACCAAGAGAGAAGACTGAAAAGCACAAATAACCCCTGCTGAGGAAAGTTGCAAACCCATGAAAACAAATAATAGATACAAAACCCATTGCCAAGCAGACGGGAGTCCTCTCCCCCATGAGAACAGCTCACAGCATAATTTCTACAAATAAGCAAGCAGAGTTCAAATTTCCTCCTATTTTATCCCATGGGAGAGACCCTCTAAAAACTGGAACTCCTTCCCTAGAGAGGATATACTAGTGTGCCATGGCATTCTCTCACCAGGCATAAAACTGAACATATGCTCTACCTGCAATTCTGAACCCCTGGTACTCCCCTCCACTCTCACCCCATGGTCTGGAAGCCTGTCCCCCATGGGGTCCAGATTCTTGGGCATTGTCTTGAGAGGTGTGGACAGGGTGTGGGCTGTTACAAGTCTATGCTGAATCAGCATGGGTGTAAAGTGGAGACTGTGGAGTGAGGGAGCCATACAGAAGAGGGAGAGATGGTGCCCCATAGCACAGTGCAGCACAGCAGGGGCTGTGGTGGGAACAATATGGTTCACACCCCTGGTGATAATTTGGAGAAACTTTCCGCCTCTCTTAGCAAGCAGAAGGAGCCAGGCCTTTGCTCCAGTGGCAGCCTCAGGTGGATCAGATCTGGGATGGAAATGCAGGCCCCATGAGCAAAGGGTATACCTGAGGCAGTACCTGCCTAGGCGGTGGGTGGTGGGGATGGAAAATAGAATCCATGCACCCGCAGAGTCAGCATACTCCCAGGATGGGGCTGAGTCAGAATTGCTGCTTTTGTGAGCCCAAGATGCAACTGGTCCCCAGGGGAGCATAGCTGGGACAAAATCAAATGTGGCAGCAGCATCAGCCTAGGGAAGGGCAGGAACTAAGAGCCATTTGTGAGCTCTAACCGTGCCCACCCCAATACAGACTGCAGCGTGAGAATTGGCGCAGCAGCAGCAGCACAGAGCAGGGCTGAGTCGCAGTTTCTGCGAACTCAAACAGTGCCTGGCCCACAGGGGAATATAGCTGGGACAGAAACATAAATTCTGTGAGAATATAAGTGGCAGCAACATCAATCAGGAGCGGGACTGGAACTGAGTGAAACTCCCCACCCTCCATTAAGTACCCAAGGTAGTCAGGTTTCAGCTCCCCCTGCCAGCTGGTGGCAGAGTGCAGCAGCCTGGCCAATGAGACATAGATCTCCCAGTGACTCAGGCAGGCACAAATTCCTGGTGCATCTGCTCACTGGAAGGAACTGGGTCACAGCCCTGCAGGATTACAAGTGACTGGACATGACAGAGGTACAAGGTGGGGAAGCAGACATCAAACTTCCCAGACTAATTCACTTCCTGGGTGGGCACTTCTGACTCCATGGGGCACCAGAGTGAGTCATACTCAAGCTGCCAGCAGATCCCTGCTATCTAGTTGCTGAAGACCTTTTGAACTATCCCACTTGAGACTAGGTGCTGACTTGGACAATTGATTTGGAACTCTTGACCTGGGCCAATCACCCAAGGACCATCCAAGGTAATACCCTGGTTGTGTGGTTATGGAAGGTTTCGTTTTCCTTTTCCAGTTATTGCCCCTGGGCGGGGGGAGGCTTATTTGCTTGTATTTCTCCACAACTGAGACTTCAACCCAGAGTTACTGATTCACTAGGATTGGACAGAGACCAGCTAAAACAAGACATAGCCACTTAGCCCCACCACACCAAGCAGGTCCCTAGTGTCTCAGGCTGTAGTACTGTACAGGTCCTTTGAGAAGTTGTGGGGGAAAACCTGCAGTCACCAGTCCCAGCTCTTGGGCAAAGGGCTGGTTAATCACTACTCCAGGAGTCCCAATCCAATTTCACCTTATCTGCTCATGTAGCCAAAAGGTGAAAAATCAACATGGGATGGAATCAGCAGAAAAACTCTGGCAACATAAATAATCAGAGTAGATCAACTCCCCCAAAGAATGACAAGGCGGACACATCCAAGGATCTCATTCACAAACAAATGGCTGAGATGTCGGAAATCGAATTCAGAATTTGGATTGAAAATAAGATTAATAGAATGGAGGTAAAGGTGGAATTAGAAATTCAAGGATCATTTCAGAAGTTGTCTCAAGAATTCAATGAATTAAAAAAAAAAAGAATTCAGGCAGTGCCTGTGGCTCAGTGGGTAGGGCACCAGCCCCATATACCGAGAGTGGTGGGTTCAAACCCCAGCCCTGGCCAAACAGCAACAAAAAAATAGCCGGGCGTTGTGGTAGGTGCCTGTAGTCCCAGCTACTCAGGAGGCTAAGGCAAGAGAATCACCTAAGCCCAGGAGTTGGAGGTTGCTGTGAGTTGTAACGCCACGGCACTCTACCAAGGGTGATAAAATGAGACTCTGTTTCTAAAAAAAAAAAAAATAATTCAATAAATTCAAAGACAAAATTACGAGAGAGTTTGACACATTGAGACAAGAACTTGGAGCCCTCAAAGATCTGAGGAATACAGCAGAATCCCTCAGTAATAGAACGGAGCAGGCAGAAAAAAGGATTTCTGACACTGAAGACAAACTTTTGAATGCCCCCAAATGCTAAAGAGGAAGAGAAGTGGAGAGCAAAAACAGATCATTCTCTCACAGAACTCTGGGATAATTCGAAGAAAACTAATATTCTCCTTATAGGAATTCCTGAAGGCAATGAGGTGGCTTTGAAAGGCCCAGATTTAAAAAAAAAAAAAAAAGAAAGAAAGAAAGAAAGAAAGGCCTAGATGTTCTACTTAAAGAGATAATTGTGGAGAATTTCCCAAACATGGCAAAAGATTCTGAAATTCAGGTAGCAGACAGCTTCAGAACCCCAGCATGACTCAACCCAAATAAAGCATCTCCTAGACACATTATAATTAACTTCACCAAAGTTAATATGAAAGAGAAAATTCTGAAAGCAGCCAGACGTAAGAAAACTATAACTTACAAGGAGAAGAATATTAGAATGACTACAGATCTCTCTGCTGAAAGTTTTCAAGCTAGAAAAGGGTGATCATTGACTTTTAACCTACAAAAACAAAATAACTTTCAACCCAGGATCCTGTATCCAGCTAAACTGAGTTTCATTTATAATGGAGAAATCAAATACTTTAATGACATTCACATGTTGAAGAAATTTGTCATAACTAAACCAGCTCTCCAGGATATTCTCACACCTATTTTCCCCAGCACAATCCTCTACCACCAAAGTAAACACACTCAGAAATTTTTAATCAAACTCCAATTTGTATAGTGGTGAAAGGATTAAAAATGTCCACTGGACTTTCACAAAAACTCCATACCCAAAATACTACCAG